CCTGGCCCAGCTGGCTCCCGGTGCCGGGCGCGGCCTCCTTCAGGCCGGGGGTCCTGCGCCCTGAGGGGCCTCCCCTCAGGCCAGGCCTCCCCTCGCCCTGTTGCCGGGGCCTGTGGTTGCACCGCGGGTCTCTTTCTGGGGTGCCTGTTGGCCCTCCGAGGTGCTTCACCTCAGAAAGAGCTCCCCGGATCCGTGTCTGGTGGGGCCGGGCCGCGTTCTGGTTCTCTGGAGGGTGGAAAAGGATCGAGTAAAAGTTGTGACTGAGCGCTGATAGTGACAGAACGTGAAAGGAGCGGGTGCTGGCGCGGGATGTAGCGATGAGCAGGGGAAACTGAGGCACGTAGCATCAGGGACTTGCCCAAAGTGCAAAATCAAGTGAGTACTGAAGTGCAAAATTGTATTTCCCCCCTACTAGTCCACGTTTTCCTTACTTGCTGGACGGAATTATTTTTCTGTTGAGATAAATCGCATCAGTGCTTGAACATGTAAAAGATTCTTGGGCTGAGATCTTGGGGAAGGATTTTAAGAGTGCAGGAGATCTATGTGAATGTGCTGCCAAAGAGAAACTTAAATTAACAGCATCAGTGAACCACTGGGGAAAGTATTAATTGTAGCCATGGCCATTTGAAGACAAACACATGAATGTAAAGGCAGAGATTCACATGATTTTGTTTATTCAAAGAAGTTGACCTTTTTGTCAAAGCTAGTGCTTAGGCTTGAAATTATTTTACTGCTTACTAAGATTTATTATATATTTGTAATATACTGTTTACATAGGCATGATATAGTTTTTTTTCTAGGCTCTTGCCTAATAATGGTCATAACTTGTATGATATTTAATGGGTGCTGTGGGTTTCCTGTTTCATTATAGATTGCCAAAATTCCCAATTAACTAGACTTCCTTTGCTAAACTCTGAGGTTTTGCTTTTGTCTGTGGTTTTTTTTTGTTGTTGCGTTGTTTTTTTTTAAATAGAATACCATATGTTTGATTTTGATCAACAGGGGGGATTGTTGACTTGTAAGATAAAAGGACCAATGTGTCCTTTGGTATAGAGCCAGGAAGACCAGGCTTGCTGGGTTAGCAAGGCTTTAGCATCCTGAAGCTTTGGTATATTTCTTCTCTCAAGAGGTGCCTTTGTGCCAGTTGTGTTGCTTAGTGACTTGTTTGCAGGGTTTTATTTTTAAGAGGCTTCTGTTCTGAAACTCCTAATTGCAATTTGCAGGTAAGCAGGTGTAGCTGACCATTTCCAGCTGCAGGGGGTTCACGAGTGCTAAACTAATTTAAACATTGCCAAATCAATTTGAAGTTGGTACCTGCTGAGTTGTGTGACATCATTTTAATTTAAGTACTTTTCTGAAGGAGAGAACTGGGGATGCTTACTTTTAATGTAAAGCTCTACTTGTGTGAGTAATTACACTTTTAAGCAGCATTTCCAGAAGGATCAAATGACACAGTGGATTATTTTCACAGACATGAAAATATTGTTTTATATAAAAGATTGTTTACACACGTGGACAATAAAAAATCTTGTCACTCCCAACAATCCTTTTTTCCTTGGGATGCAGTTAAATGAAAAGACTGGTTCTTCACAGCTTGGCTTGGTAACAGTTATTCCTTTGAATTCGACAAACAGTAAGGGTCATACAGGTTAAGAAAATACAGTTTGTTTAAAATGAGCTTTTTTGATCAGTGTTGCAGGATCTGACCTTGGATTTGTAGGCATACTATAATGGGTTCAAGTGCTTTGTAAGTTGTCTTGCTCCTTTTAAACACATGAAACAGGATATAAAAAAAAAAAAGAAAGGAGACTATTTTCATGACTTCTTATATTTTTCATCTTTTTAAGAAAAAATCTGTGGAGCTTTATGGGTGAGGGAAAAATAACATACAAAATTCTTAACTTCGTACCAGTTAGCAGTGTCATTCATCCTCTTGAAAAGCCATTCACAAAGCAAGATGCTACTTAGTGTGTGGAACAGTTGTGTGACTTACAAAGTTGTCTTTTTGAACTCAACAATTAGAAAATAAGCCTTAGTATTTCTTTCCAGAAGTTTTTACTATTTAGGCAGCCACACGGCTCATCAGAATTGGGTGAAAATGGCACCATGCATAACTCATTCTTCTGTTTAACAGAGACTGCTCCTTATCTCAAGATGGAAGAACCAGTGCTAGATGAATCAAAATCTTTGTGCAATACTCCAAAGGATTCTGGGACACCAGCTCCACAGAGGCCTAGCTCAGGGAAACGGGTATGAAAACTTATTTGCTTTTCCAGTAATGTGACTCTTTGTAGTAACAGAAATGCTTGTGAAGTCACTGAGATACTGTTTATTGGAAGGCTAAAGATAGGTAGCTTATACTTGTAGCTACAAAGCTGTCCAGGTGAGGAATGTACTTGCTATAACTTGTTTGAAGACGAAGTCATGGAGCAGTAAACGCAAATACCATACTAATAGGTTTAAATACTATATAAGGTTTGTGGTGGGTTTTGTTATTGTGTTTTTTTTTTTAATCTGTCATCTTCAGTTTTCTCAAATCCTAGTTTTCTGGGTTGCTGTTTCTGCAGAATGACTTTCTGTGACATCTGCTTGCATTTGAACAAAGTACACGGCTTTCATTTTGTATATTCTCCATAATGCTGAGCTCCACTTTGGTGTCCTTCTAGTGTGTGTTTCAGTGATGCTGTCGGGCTCAGCATCCAGACCTGTGCAGGATAAGGCTAGTTTACAACTGTTCCTTCACTAGTCCCTCTCTCCTGTATTTCAGTATACTTTAACAAGTAAATATGGTAGAGATTATTAAAAGAATTAAGTTATTTTGAAGAAAAGCTTTTTAGATGGTTATCAGTGAAGGACCCCAAGGCATGAACAAGCCAAAATAACAGCGATCATTTCTAATACTTTCTATTACAATACAGATGCTTCATACCAGTGCTAATACAAAAGTGTGTATGTGTGGTGGAATGGAGTAACAAAAACGCCACTTATGTCCATTAAACTAGGGGGGGAAATTGAATTTGCTGGAATAAAATTAGCCAAGTTGAAATATACTGTATATCTTCTGCACAAAAGCTAGATGAGTAGGCTTGCCTTAAAATGGAATATGGGATTTGCTTCTAGAAAATGTGAAGGTATATCTTTCTGTATCTTGCAGCTGTGTGCAAACACACAGGAAAGGAAGAGCTAAAATTTTTGAAAGCTTTAGTGAGAACTGGGATGTCTAGCTTTACAGTGATCTTTAGATATATGACATATTCTATGTAAATGATAATCAGGGTGAACAGGTCTTCAAAACTTGATCAAATGATCAAATTGATTGTTCTGATCCTTCTGGATTTTTTGTTTTGTTTTGTTTTTTAGCCCATGAGTGCAGCTCTGAGGGAGCGATTAAGGAAAACAAGACGTTCATTTAATGCTAATGTTGCAGTGGCAAAGCGGCTCAAAATAGGCACTGAAGAAAAAGACTGTGCTGAAAAAGAGTGCATGCCAAAGACAGATTGCTCCACATTACAAGATGGTTCTGAAAATCCAGAAAGAAATGGCACTGGACATGCATGTTTCAAAAGCCCCTTACAGGAAACCAATCTCTCCAGATCAGCAGAGAAGTCTCATGTGCTACAGGCTGATCTTAGTCAGCAACAGTCCCTGGAAGAAAAAGTAAGACTGGTGAAACAAGTGCAAGAGAAGGAAGACCTACTTCGAAGGCTCAGAATGGTTAAGATGTACCGATCTAAGGTGAGAAGAACCTCTGAAAAATCAATTTTAAATCATTCTTTGAAGTGGAATTCATAGTGTAATCCTCATCTATCGGCTTAAACAAAAATACTGACTCAATTTTTTGTGTGATGTTTGTGTCTTGTCTTAGTTTAAGGCATGTTATAGAAGTGGATCAGTAGGGTATCAAAATACACCACATTTCAGCAAATGACAATTAATTTTGTTTTCTCCCAATTTCAGAACAACCTGTCTGAACTGCAGGCTTTGATAGCGAAATGGAGAAGCAGTACCCAGCTGATGCTGTATGAACTACAGTCAGCCTTTTCTGCAGATGGCAAGAAAGTGAGTCTCACTCAGCTGATAGACACATTTGGATTAGAAGATCAGTTATTGCACTACAGCAGAACAGAAGAAGATTTTGTAGATGCATAATATACAGGTGCAAAGCTTTTATTTACTCATATGCATAAGCACAAAGGACCAAATGATTTCTCTTCACATAAGAAATGTTGATCAGTGGACTTTTATGCTTTGAGGTTAGGAAGTTTTCTCAAGAGATACTTGTAAAGCTGTGTGCTTAGATACAGCAAACACTGTGAAAGGCATTATTTAATGGAAAAGATCAAACTCATGCTGTTTTGAAAAATCCAGCTTGAGTTCAGTGAATAGTTACTTAATATGATTCCATTTATTACTTGATTAAAATTTCATTTTAATGAAATCAAGTCATACTCTATCAGGTAGAAGGCAGTCTATTCTTTGACTGGTCTTTGCATGGTTACTTGTCTTGAAATAATGAACTCTAGTTGTTATTTCTGTTGATGGGGGAAAAGTTAAGTTCTTTGTTAATAGATACATCCTCATTTTACAAATGTCTTCCTGCTACCAGTGAGTTATCAACAATATTTTGCAAGTTAAGTAAAAGTGACTAATTTGCATGTTGTTAATATTCTGAAGCTGCAGTGAGATGTTCTCAGTAGCTTTAATTTTTATTACTGAGGGAAATGTGCGAAAATGCACTAATTTTCAGATACTGGCCCTGACAGTTGTCTTCATGGAAGGTATATCCTAAGTATTTTGCCACAGCCTGAGATAGTAGAAGAGAAGACATGAAAATTGCAACCAACATCTGTCTGCTCTGTGCTTCATGTGAGAGCCAAGGTATTTCAAACCAATAAGAAGAACAAGGCATTGTCTTATGGGTGTGCTTCAAATACAGCATGATAAAGTTGAATGAAACTTTAGCATTTCATTTATCTTCCAATAAATACTGCATTTTAAAAAGTTTGAGTCTTAATTTGAAATGGCTTTATTTTCTTAGCTGGCCTTTGCATGTAGTGTGATGACTTCTGTCTACTTTTCTCCTTAAAATCATTGCTTGTCAGGTGTAACAAAACCAAAATCATGACTCTACAGCTCTCCCTGCTACCACTTTGTTTTATATGCAATCACATTCCTTATTGGTTGCACCTTAACTGTTTTGTTTAGAGGTGGTATTTCCTGTTTCTTTGATGAGAGAGTAATTTCTTACATTTCTCAATGTAAAAAAAAAAAAAAAAAAAGGTGATGACTGGTGAAGGGGACTTCTCTTCCCTGAGGTCCTTGGCAAATTTGGAACTCTTACTTCTAAGGAAGTTTCAGCTACAGACCCAGTTAAACATAAGGCAAAAAAGGGGGTGGTCTACAAGATCACAACAGAAGTAGTTTTTCTTAGAAGTGTTGAATTTTGTTAAACTAAGGTATCAAAGCTATTAATGGTCGCACAGTGGAAAGAGTTTAGATTTTATGTGAATTTATGAAAGGAGAAGTATTGACACACACTACAGAAGAAGGAAACAAAAAGGAGTGAGAATGCTTGAGATCAGTCTCCCACAGTGGTTTGTTTTATCAAGGGTTTTTTAATCAATCTTAGCTGCCTTGGAGAAATCTGGCAGGAGAATATACTGCATTTGATGTGAAGGTAGGAGCAAATGTTTCAGGAGGCCACATGCTTCCAGACCTGGTTTCCTCTGATTCTGCCAGTGGCAGCAGGGAAAAAGCTTAGCTGCCTTGGAGAAATCTGGCAGGAGAATATACTGCATTTGATGTGAAGGTAGGAGCAAATGTTTCAGGAGGCCACATGCTTCCAGACCTGGTTTCCTCTGATTCTGCCAGTGGCAGCAGGTAATTAGGCTGCCATAAGCAGCAGCAGCTTTCAGGACAAGGCCAGGTAGAAGGCATGGTCAGGCTGAAGAGTACCTTCATCTTCTCAGCTACCTGCACCTGTGCCATCACAGGTATAAATATATTTTACAGAACAAAATTAAGTCAAAGCCACAGACATTAATTTTACCAGCTATAGTGTGGATTTCTTGCAGTACTTCACCTTCCAAATGTTCTACAATTGCATCTTGCAGACTGAGGACATACAAATACACCTGTACGATCAGTCTACAATTTCTTGTACCCTTTGTTTTCTGTAATGAACTATATGATTTATGTAATCAACTCTGTAGAAATTAATCTCATGAACTGAAATATAATGGGGCTAAGACTAGGCATAAAATACACAAAACAAACAAATATGCATCTTTCAAATGGAAGTTATTTTAAAAGAAATTACAGAAGAAATAGCTGTGGAAAGAAAAGTTCATGGAGAAAATGCTGATGCTCCAGCTATTTTTCTTAGATTTATAATACCACAGTCTTATCTACGTGGACTCTGGTCTTTAAAGAATAGGGAATGTTCTTGATCTCAGTCTTGCAACTTGTGCCTGAAGAATTTCAACCTGTTCTTCCTCTTCCCTTACAAGATTCCGTAGGTGTTTCTGCTTCAAAATCTCTTGGTAACGCTCCTTTCTAATCTTTTCAGAAACAGGCCGTATGTCTGCATAAAACAAAATATAAGGGTTAGCCTGTACTTGTAGTGGATATATAGTCTATATTTATACTATATTTATATAGGACCTGTCCCTTTGTTACTCTGAGTTCCGTATAAAATAGGCAAGTGTTTTAAAAAAGGCTTACAGTTGGGCTTCAGAGCCTTTGTAGTGCTGAATAAAACAAAAATATCAGAAAGGCAAGGGCGTAGTTTCTAGCAAGTACCCACTGTTTTGAAAATCTCTAACTTTTGCTAATGGGAAGATCTCTACAGTTTTGCTAATAGCAAATGCCCTTCTCAGCTTCATGGTACTTCCTCTGGTCCCTTGAATGTGTGGAAAGGAGTAGGCTGGACAGTTCCAATAAGGAATGAAAGCATGTTGTCTAATGAAGGTATTAATGACTAGAATATTTGACTTTAATAGTTTCAGCAATTTAGTTAATTAACTTTGGTTACAAGAATAAAAAATGTCTAGGTATGCTCTTAAGTAAACAATGTTAAATTGTTGTGGGAAGGGCAGTGCTAATTGTGCACATACAGTAATAAACGTGCTTGCCCCTTAGCTGATGCTGATGGAAAACAGGACTGGGTAGCCTTGGAGATACTTTGTGAATGTTATTTGCTTGTGACTTTTGAATGTTACTGTGGCTCACCGGCTGCCTTCGAGATGTTACTCCTTTCTGAGACAGAGACAAGCATTTCTTTCAGCTCCAGGCTGAGCTTGTAGTTTGCTTGCTCTTTTAAACTGATGCACTTCTCCAACTCTTTAATTCTTTTTTTACAATTCTTCACATTCTTCTTGTGCAGCTGTCCATTTCCAAATGGATAAAGCAAATATATGAGCTTACACATAACATGTTCAGACAAACTTTTGATGGAAACATACAATCTTAAGCACTGCATTGTAGCTCAATAAACTGTAATGTATTTTGATTTGACTAGTAGCACATGCTAGCTTTACTTGCACACTATTCCAGTGTGCTTTATGGAGTTCTAATATAAGTAGCAGACAACAAAGAAAGAGGTATGAGTCAGGTAGAGAAATATATTAAAGATAAAACCTGAAAGATAAAGGGAGGAAAGGAAGTCAATGGAATGAGCGAGCTGGGAACAGAGTTGGCTGCTAGGAGCTGCTGAAGAAGGGGTTGTGCTGAAGCTGTGAGATGGGCTGTAGAGGCACAAGGTAAATACTAGAGCTTGAACAGGAATAGGAGGTTAATGCCAGCTAGGGCAATATGGAGAAAATCCGGTGGAATAACGTATTAAAAAGTAATCATAATCTGAATGTCAAAATAGATGAGGGAGCCAGCAAATCATAGTTGGATATAAGGGGAGAGTGATATTACAAACAGGCTCGTGCTTCTGGAGATAAACATTAAGCAGTGAAGACTAGAAGAATGCTTCATTAGAAATGGAAGAGAAACTTTTATAGACAATGCTGTTCAAGAAGTGAGAAGCAGATCTGCATTCAGATGTTTAGGAGGGAAAGCATTTAATTCCAGTAATAGCAAGTAGATTTTTCTCCATAAGGTTGATTTATGGGACAATCCATGTATGATGACTGCTTCCAAAGACTGCAGTTGTAGGCAACTCAGTGCAAGTTGAAGAAACTATGGAAAGCCAGATGAATAAATGGAGATATATATATATATTCATCCTTGTGCACTGTTGCGGCTGTGGTCCAACAGTCCTTGAGTTAGCTGAGGAGTTAGTGTGCCTACATCAGTTGCAGTTATTCCTTACAAACCCCTTTTACTAATGAAGGAGTGGAGTTGAATTTAAATTAAGAGTGTGTCTTTCAGATGTTAGTGGTTCACTAAGGAGTTACCTTATCGATGGTGCCAAGTGTTTGCTCCAACACTGAAATGCGCTGGGCGATGGTGCTGTCGTAGTTCAGCTCAGTTAGGAACTGGAGGATTAAAAATGGAAATAAACCATCTTATTGAGCCTGTTTGTTGTCGACAGTTCCTCACTTTAAAGACATACTATGTGAAACTCAAAAAACTAGAATTCTGAATAGGAAAAGGGCTTACTAGTGATCAGAAGTGGACATTATAAAGATATTCTTGGATGCTGTGTGAAGACTGCACTGCACAGGTGTTAAATGTTATATTGTGTGTTAATGGAAACAAAAGACCAAGCATATTTAGTGCAAGGTTGTCATAAAACCCAAGTTATACTTTATCTAATAAGGCAGTCTAAGGTAAAACAGGTAGAAGCCAAAGTGCTATAGTCTGTCCTAAAGCCAGAGAAGAAAGTGATTATTTTCTGTCAAGTGGCTTCCTAGTAATTATTCTTTTATTGTTCTTATATTGCATAATAATTCAGGTTTTAGAGCATTTACATTAGAGATTTTTTTTTTCTTGGGATACTGCTACTAGTAAAACAGGCTGTATGACCCATCATGGGCAGTAGACAGTTTTTGTAGATGCAGGCTCATCCAGAGTACTGTCCCACCAAAATGACAGGTAAAATTTTGTTGGACAACTCTAAGGGTTAAAACAGGAAAGACTCAATAGGCTCCTTGCCTACAGCACAAAACTGCTTTCACTCACTGCTTCATTAATTCCAGTTGTTCTCAAGTCTTTGCCTCAGTGCATTTATCCAAGCCATCTTTTTTTTCCCTTCCTATTGTTGAGGTCTCTATTGCCTTGTCTTTCCTGCTAACCTCACATTCTACTCAAGTGAAGTAAAATCAACCCTCTCAGAGCATTCGGATTCTGATTAAACTGGTACATGCCTTTGCTGAGGGCAAGTCTTACTCTCTCTCTGAAGGACAGCGGTTCTGACCATCACTTCAAATGAAGTTTGAGCTAATGGCATCACTTTGCTACAAGACCTGTCCATTGTGTTGTCACATCACTTCTTTGGAAAGTCGTTTTGTTTGTGTTAGTTATGGAACTCCCTTGGCTGTGATTCTAAAGTGAACAAGGAGTGTGGAAAGAAGCAAAACAAATAAAGCCTGAACAAAACATGTATTGGATTTTCTTTTAATCTTTTGATTGGAGAGCAAGTAAGGATATTGCAATTCAACTTTCTTGATTTTTCTCTGTGCTTTAGTTCTCCTCACTGCATTATCTCCAGTCTACGTATCCTCCAACATCCCTTACTCTAAGCCTTTACACCCCACCTCATCCTCACATCAGCTTTCCCTGCAGTCCTCTACAGCCCATATTGTGATATTCTCAGGCTCGCCCTACAACCTCTCTTCTTCCTCCTCTTCTCCCACTGGTATCCTTGGCTCCTTTGGTGCACTCCCACAGCCTTTACTGATGTTTTTTTAACTGCCCCCTAGGCTTATTCAGAGCTATGTGGTAGCTGACTTGCTGGCCAGCTGCCGCCTCTTGCCTGCCAGGCATGGCAAACAATCCCTTGTCATTTTGCTACAAGCCAACAAGAGGCAGCAAGTAGGGCTTAGTAAGGTACCTGTAGGAACACCAAGTCTTTGTATACTAAGCAAAAGTTATATTTCTGCGAGATAGGAGATGGGGGCACCTCAGACCTTTCTCTTAGAAGGAAGCTGTGGTGCTTTATTTAAAAGATTGTCCTCATGGCTTCAAAATCCCAATTCCTTAGTCTCAGTCCCAATTTTAAAACTCTTAAGAGTTAGGGCTAATTGTCCCTTTACTAACACCTGAACATCCCAAAGAATTTCATCACTGATCAATCTCAAGAGTAAAACTTCCCTTTGAAAGCTGAATTGTTGACCTATTAGGCATCAGGTTTCTCTATAGTAGTAAAAGACTTATGAAGTAGAAATTATTTTACAGGTAGAGCCTGAAAACTGTTCTGCAGTCAAAAGAAGAATGAGAAAGTAACTCACTAGCTGGCGATCTTTTGAAATAGGTAGTGTTACAATATCCTGAGCCTTCTGTTTCAGATCTTCTATCTGCATTCTCATTTTCCTGTGTTGCCATTCCAGTTTAAATATCCCTTTAGAGAAGTCTTTACATTCCACCATGCTTGCAATTTTTTTTTCTCCTTGAGCCTGAAAAAACAGATTAATCTTAATTAACACACTTTACAGATTATGGAATAACTATCTGCAACAAGTTTGGCAAGCTTCCAAAGTTGTCATCTTAGTAGGGAACACATTCTATACTGCAGTCTCTTTCCAGCCCTTGCTCCAGATAGTTATCTTTTTATGGAATTTTGTTCAGTTTTGTGCTCCATGCCACAGCCTTAGATTGTGGAATTATATGAAGAAAATTACTATTGACCTCTCTCTCCATCTTTCTATCTTTCATAAGAACAGGAAGACATTTTAGCACCACAACATACAAGCTTGTTCTGTATAAGGTATATTGCAGTTGTTACTGAAGGCTTTGTGCAATATCAGTAAGAAGCAATTTTTGTACAGCTAGAATGCCTAAAAAAAATCCTTTAATGAGAGTAAGAAAACTTAAATATGATCACCAATTTCACCTTACATTAAAAAGGCTATTAATTTTTTAAATCTTAGAGTAAGGTACTATTCAAATGCCTCTTAACATGACTGCAAGTTTGCCTTGAGGGAAAGTTTGGACTGGTGGTTAGGATATTAGATTTTCTATTTACAGTGTGTGTGTAAGTGATACGTAAAAACTGTTGCCATTTCATTGATCTGAATTGTATTGATCAGACATCAAGAGAGGAGTCTATATTGCGATCTTTACAGCATAATAAGAGACATTACAGAATTCTTAGTAGCTTCTAGATTACAATGGAGCTTCCTGGTCTGTAGTAATTAATTGACACTAGGTGTCAACTGGAGAAAAGGAAGAACAATACATTTGTTTTAAAAGCTTAAATATTCTTTATATAATGTAAATTACCATGATAGAGCAATTCAGATCTTCAACAACACTCTTATTAATGAGAATGGCATCAGTGTAGTCTGGGATAGCAGCACTTTTCAATTCCACCTGTCCTTGTTTTAGCAAAAACTGCACAATCAAATTCAATTGCAGTTTTATCTTCTCCTCCTGCAGCCTAAAATGTCAGAAAACGAAACCAATATTTAGTTATTTCAACAATATAATATAAATCCTCCTATGATTCTCAAAATATTTTTATTTATTACTGATAAGTGGTATGTTCATGTAGGGGTTACTTTTCAACAGCGAGTCTTCTATTTCTCCTCAAAGTGACAACAGAATTTGCAACTGATTTCCATACTCAAAGTTTTCAACTACTGGATTCAGTTTAACATAGTCTAGTAGATATTTGGAGAGAAAGTGTCCTTACTGAACAGAAATTTTAACAACAATTGAAAAGGAAATAGAGGATACTCCCAGCCAACACTAGTTTCTTGTATAATTTATCCTGGAGTTTGTTCCTGAATGACAATGAATGTGAAAATTATGTCATATACATGAAAAAAATGAAGGTCCAAGCAGGTCAGTGAAATCAGATCTCCTGTGACTGAGCAGCCTATTTCAGTTAAGGGCAATCACTGTATATTAGGTCTATGTGAGCAAAATTTAACTGAGCTAGCTAGCACATATATGGCCTTAAAAGCTTTGTCAGATTCACTGTATGATGTAGCTTACACTGAAGACCATGCTGCCATCTGTACTGGTGTTGTTACTGAAGATGGTAGATCAAGATAGGTTTGGGCTGCTCACATGTGCTGCAGGAACACCCCCTTCAGAAACATCATATGTCCCTTAGATGAATCCTAGATAAGTGTTGGAGAACACAGCTGTGTATGTAACTTCTGGTTCTGTGTTGGTGGACTATTAAAATTTAGCTGAACATAGGAAAAGAAACAAAATTACCATGTGAGTTCTTGGAAAATGGCTTTTAGTTCTGACTCAATCTTCTCATTTTCAACCATTCTTCTGTGGAGAAAGGCCTGCATCTCTGCCAGTGTTTGGGCTGTCCACTTCACCTAAGCAAGAACATTGTGACATTCTGAACGTTTTCAACTTTGTCAGTAGGTGAGGGCAAGCCTCTTCAAGAGCAGAAAAGACAAGTTCTCAAGAAGACATAAGTATGTATAAATATGCAGCCTGGTATTTTGAGAATTCCAGTAGAACATGTAACACAGAAGTTATAATCCTTACACTCTGCTCAGAAAATAATGTATTCATTTATGCATAGTTTATTCATGTAGTTTATTCACATTTTCTTCTTTCTTGGTTAAAGTTCATGTATCTCTGGATGATTCAGATTTACACCTTTATACTTTTAAACTGAACAAATGGCTTGGTAGAACTTTCCAGCAACACCTTTTGTTAGGAATTGCTCTTGATCTAGAAAAACATGGGAATGCATTGATGCTAATGGGAGAGAATGACTCCAATAGATGATAGAAATAAAATATCTAAATAGTTTGTTGGTATGGATAGAAGAAATGAAAATTATATTTAATGAAATAATATCAACGTCAAAATCATTCTGATCTAATCTCTTCATGTTAATATGCTAATTTCCTTTGAGGGAGAACTAGAGCTGGTTTCCCTTGATGCCTTTTCTGTTCTTCTGAATAGAATGTGGCCAGAAGCAACTTTCAAATGCAAATTCAGCTTATCTGTGCTGCATTGTTTCCACAAAAGTTTAAGACCTGAAAATGTTAAGAAGTATACTGGCAAAATACAGAATTTTACATACCAACTCCTCACTCTCCATTTTATTTCGTCTAGCTATGCAAAAATGTTCCCATACAGATGGGTCTAAGCCATTAGGCATATGCTCAGAACTATCCAGTTCATCCATGGCTTTCATTAAAAGGGTAAGTGACTCCTTGTAATCTTCAGCTGAGCCTGAACAATCCTTATACGGGTTAGCAGTGTCAAGGAGCATTTCTGTCACTGGGGTCCTAGTACACATACACAGTACATACAGTAGTTACTTTTTATTTTCTCTTGCATAAAAGAAGCTCACAAACAACAATAAGAACATTTCATACTCTCAATCTCTTGCAAGGAGCAAATGGGTAAGGTTTCATCTTCCCCAAAAGAAAAGTTATGTTTTCGAGAACTGCTGATTACTTAGATTGCATTTAAAACAAATTGTGTGACGTGAATAAGGAAATGTAAGTACTCAAAATAGCAAGCCTTAGTATGATAGGAAATGAACCATTGTTAACTATCCATTAAAAATCAGGCAGTCTCCTGATTATCAAAATAATGCTATTGAAGTAAATAGCATTCCCATCTCTGGCACACATGACATACTAGCATTTAACCAGATGGAATCGGGGGGGATCTTACTTTGGACGATGTTTGTAAAGCTGGTGAAGTTCATCAAGGAGATTGGCAGGTACGTCAGCAAACTCCTTTGCAAAACCACTTTCCAGATTCTAGGAGGAAAACAGAAAGCTTCCTTATTACCACAATGTTGTTTTTAAAAAAGCATCAACATGCTCATATCCTAGAAATAGAGAGTATGCCCCTTTTCCAAGCATTCCCAAGCATCACAAGAATCTAGACTATTTAGTACATTATTCTATGCTCATACTCTCCTGTATGTGATCAGTGGTCAGCAAGCTGACCAGAACTTACCCCATGCTTACAGTGAATTATCTTATTATCAAGACACAGCTTTCATTTTTTAATTTCTGAAACTCCTTGTGTTTGTCTAGAGTCTCACCTTCTCTTCAGCTATTGCAGTTTCACGGGTGCCTAGGTAAGCTTTAATTTTCTTTTTTGTAGTCTGGATTGCTCTTGCAGACTTGATCTATATAGCAAAACCAAAAGATTTCAGGAATGAAACTCAGCAGAAACACTGAATGGCCATTCATACACACAGATGAAACTGACACTTTCTTATTTCTAGAGAAAACCTTGTGAGCTATTTTTACTCACAATATAATGCCTACTTGTAGATATTGCTAAAAGATATAAGAGATGTACAAAATCTTAGAAGTTTTCTGTTTAAACTTGGAGTGTAAGTTACCTAGGTTGATACTTGTTTTCACTTGCATCAAGATTACCTTTTTCTTTCATGTCATCAAAGGTAAGAGCAGTCAAAACTTGTAAAATGCTGTTCAGCGGAGGGTTCTGAATTTCAGAAGTTTCCCTGTTATCATATCATAGTTCTGCTACATGTCAGGATACAAAACTCATTGGTTTTACAGAGGCTGTTTAATGCTTATACTCTGCTGCAGAGACTGTTTTGTTGTATTTGGCAGTTTGTACGGACCAAAAGATGAACCAATGGAAGCATTTAGAAAATATATTTTGAAAAATGTAAGCTGGTATATACACTTGGCCTCAGATAACTTTAAAACTATTTCATCCTATTCAGTGGTAGGGGCGAGATGCTGAATTTGGAACCTCGCCCTGTATCTCACATCCAAATCTTCAACCACAGAGGTCTGTATAGGTTTAGTAGGAGATCTGACATGGGGAGGCATTAATATATTTTCTGTGAAGACAAAGTGAGCAAATGGGATTCTACAGTCCCAAGAGCCAGAACCAACCTGCAGGCTGCTACAACTTAGATCACCTGAGTCAGGCAGGTATTAGTAGGACACAGGAATCAGAACCATCACTCAAATTATTACTGTGGGCAGTAAACACTTGTATTGAAATCCAGTGGTATTGAAATTGAGATCTATTACTTGTGCTCTCCAGTTGACTTGTATATAGTTTCACAGGGATGGGTAAATTTGTCAGGAGATTAAATTGGTCAATAAGTATGTAAAAACTGTGTACTCTCTAGTATGTTCTGCTTCCATGGTCCGACACTCACATGCCACCTCTGTCTATGCTTTGAACTGGCAAACACAAGTCAGTGCAGCCCTGGCCTATATTGGACACCTCAGCAAAAAACGTGATGCCATTTCTCACAATCTTTTGTGCATCTTTCTGTCATAAAAGCATCATAATTCGTGCTTCCAGCTTCATACTGGATACTGAAAGATATTACATAGAACAAACAAATAGCAGCATGTCATTCTGAATACATGGATTTTTACCAAACAACTCCAGATGAAACCAGATGCATATCTACTAAAAAACATATGCATTTATAATGTATGTCACCTGTACAAGTTGAACAAAAAAATCACTGACCCTTTACATGGACAGAAAACAACTTATGGCATAATTTTGATTTGAAAAGAGCAGTTTTCACAAGAAATATTACACATTTCCTAGAAACAGCATTCAAAACTATAACTTACTTTTTCTTTCTCTTTTTTCATGAGGAAATTATGAAGTCCAGCTTCTCTAGCATTCAATTCTTCATCCAACAGTAAAGCATAAACAAGATTTAATATTTTGAGTTCTTCCTGTGAAAAGATTGCAATTAAAAAATGTTAATATTCC